GTTAAAAGATATGAAGAATATGTTCTACATTTATTAAATAGAAAAGATAACTTACTGGGTAATATCCATAATTATGAATAAAGGGATAAATTGAAAAATAAAAATAATGAATTGTAAAATGCAATAAGAAACAATATAATAAGAACTATTGAAATACAGCGTATTTTATCGGAAAAGTTGCAAAAATTATTAAGAACATTAAAGAAAATGAAACCTTGTTTACGTCTATTAATATAGATTTATCCATTTTATTCATTGTAAAAATTGGACATGATACAAGAAAACATTTCAAAAAATGTTTTCCAGAAAAAGAAAAATTTTAAGCAATAGCAAGCTATTACATGGAAATTAAGGTTATTGTTAATGAGATTGATAAAATTTCGAAATAAAAGTATTTTATTGAAGATACAAACAAAAATATTTATGACTGTATTGAAGGAACGCAAAATTCTGAAGAAATCCCTGAAATAAAGGAAGTGATAATTCATATATGAAAAAATCATACAAAAGGAAAAGCTAAGTTATCTACAGTTAGGAACACCTTGGATATAATTAAAACAAAACAAAAACAAAAAAGTATATTATTCTTCTCATTATCCAAAGTGCAAGTATATAATTTTAACTGTGAAAAATATAATATGGGCCAAAAGGATAATATAATAAATATATAGATAAATCAGTTAAACAAATAATCAAATTTAATAAATTACTTTGCAAATATAATTAACAATATAAAATAAAAAGCTTAAAAGATATTTACTCAAAATCATATTAATAGATAAACCCATAGTTGTAATCAAATGCTAAATAAAATAAATGAATAAAAACAAAATTATATAAAAAACAATTTACATATTTATCTTAATAATAAAAAAATTCTGCAGAATGTGATTTGAATCATGGTAAATATATTACTGATAATTAAAAAAATATATAATTAAAAAATAAAAAGTACAAAAAACATTAGATTTATATACAATAAGAGTAATTTTGCCCTTATCAAATATAAATATAGACCCTAAATAGAAATTAAGAAGAATTATAATAAAAATATAGGTCATGACTCAATAAATAAATCATCTAAAAATAGTGATACAAATAACAGAAAAAATTAAAAGTACAAAATAATATATTAAATTAAATATAAATATATATAGAAAAAACACATTCATGTATCTAAAAATAATAACGTAAAACATGAAGCATCAATCCTGAAATCATAACCATTAACAATAAAAACCAAAACAATATAACAATAAACATCAACCAATAAACCTACAATTATAAAATAAAAATTAATAAGCTGATCGCTCCAAAATACAACATAAATCATAATCCTAAACATAAATGCATAAAACTAATACTACAAAACACTGAACCATAAAACATAAAATCTAAAACCTAACACAAAACACCTACATCCTGAATCCTAAAGCATAGACCTCAAAAATTAAAAAATAAAACATAATTAAAAAACACAAAAACCTGAATCATATACCCTATATCCTGAAACCTTATACCAAAATCCTAAAACATACACCCTGAAAGGGATAATATAAAAAAAGAACCCTTAAACATAAAACATTAAGACTAAAGCTAAAATCTGAAACAAAAGCAAAAAACATGTAGCCGAAACACTAAAGCATGAGCTCTGAACGCTGAGCCATGATCCCCCGGCCCTGATAACTGTACCCTGTGTCCTTAACCAAAAAGATTAACATGAACATAAACATTGAACCCTAAAACTGAACACTAAACACTAGAAAAAAAATCCTCAACATAAACACTAAAACTGAACACTAAACTATAAATACAAAACCATGAACCTGTACACGATATCCAAAACGTGAACATAAAAACTTGAACCCTAAAATATGAACCCTAAAGCTTAACGCTAAACCCTAAACTATGAACCCTAAACCTAAACACTAAAACCCAGAACTATGCTTTCATTAGAAACTAAATATAAAATAAAATGTACTAGTAACCTCAATAGATTTTATTTATTGCTTGTAAAGTATATTATTACAGGTATTTTCTAAAATATAATTAGTAATAAGATATTAAGAATTAGGTTTTATTTTAAACACTAATAATGTTATATATGTGAAAAAAACCATTATAAGTTATTATGTAGTTTAATATTATGAATTAATAATTAGAGATATATATTCATAAATGGCACAATATAGGAAGACATATTTTTTTAAAATTCATTTTATTTGTCGTATGAGCCTGATAAATATTTTAAAATATAAATAAATTTTATAAAATTTCTCTCAAAAGCAGTATATGCATAGTATATCAACATTTTCAAATTATAATTATGGTAAATATAAAAGATTATAATTATTGAATATAAAAATAATGACTCTTATTGAATATATATATTATTAAAAATAGTGACTTCAATTAATTTGTAATTCAAAAAAAACAAGTACAACAAATAATATAAATATGAAATGTTACTATATAGTAAAAATTCCAATAATATTAATATGCACGAATGATAAAATATATATACTCTTAGTATATGCTTCAAATGTATTTGAGGCTAAATAAAATAAAATTACATATACTGAATGTAATAACAAAATAACATATAATTATAACATTATGTAAAACACAACATGTAAATTAAAAAAATCCTAAAATACATAATTATACATTTATCCAATTTAATTAATATAATAATTATATTTATCTTATTTTTTTTAATTTTAATAAGAGAATATAATTTTACATAGCAAATAATGAAAAAGAACATAAGATGATTATTTTTAAAATATTATTATGAATAAAATATATAAGAAGTAATAAATATAATATATGTACTTGAATAAGTAATATATAAAAATTAATATATCTGTAAATTCACAAACAGAAAAATGAATTCAAAAATACTAAATCATGTACTCCAAAACCTAGAGTATTTTCGACCCCCTAATTCTTATATTTTAACAAGCAATGTTATTGTTCTTTTCATCTAAACACTATTTTTATGTTTCTAATTTGTTCTCTATGATAGATAAGAAAATAAGCCATATATCACAAATAGTTAGTACCATATTATAATCAGAATAAAAAAATTTGATTATTTTATTCCTATTTTTTTTTTGCATTAATTTTATAATTTTATTAAACAGTAAATAATATTTTCTAATATTATGAATAATTATTTTTTAAATTTGATATTTATATATTTTTAAACTTTATTAATTTTTTTAATTAACCCGAAAACATATATAATTATATATAAGATGACAAGATTTAATGTAAGATAGAACTCTTATAATATAAATTGCAACAAAATATTACTTGTCTATATAAATTTGCATTATTATTATGTGAATACGTTAATAAGAATATGATTCTTATAATTTTATCATTATTATTTTAGTATGATTCTATATTTTCATTATTTCCTAAATGTGAAGAGCTTATGAGCGCTGTTAGTATTAATGAAGAACATTTAAGTACGTGGGAGGATAACTGTAATAATTTTAAAAAGAAATTCCAAAATATTTCTAATCCCTATGCCCTAGATATATGCCTTGTAGCTATGCAATTTTTATATGAAATATTTAGTTCAGGAAAAAATAAATCATTGAAAGAAGTTTTAAATATTTATACTATTGGCTACACAAGTTTAATCTAATTGATGGAAAACATCATCTATTCATAAAAGAATTTTATATGAAATTAATCGAACTAGCATTCGAGAGTACATATTTTGATACTTATTTTTATAATATTAAAGAACATAATATTTCTGATGAATTCGATATAGTGAAAGATCTATATGACATTAATATAGAAATTGATAACATAAAAAAATCTGATAGTACAAAGTGTAATAATAATATATGCATGTGTGCAAAAAACTGTGAACAAATATATAGTCAGCTCAAGTATGAATGTGAAAAAAAGTACGACTCTGGTTTACATACTACTTTAGAAAACATACGAAATAAACTTATTCAAGTGAATTCGATAAAAGATTGCACAATAAATTTACCAGATATATTACCTTTTATTCAGAGACGAACTTTATTAGTTTCTACTTCAATATCTATTTTTACAATATTATTAATATTGTGTGCTGTATTTTTTATAAATAAGGTTAATAATATGTATTTTAATACTATAGATGAATTGTTGAAATAACATAAAAAATATATGTCCTAAAAAAATATACATCCAATATAATATATATTTTTTTATTAGTTCACTCCATATCGTTCCCACTTACAAGTTTCCGTAAAAAGGATAATACATGTATTTAAAAATACAAATGAAGTATGGGATATAATGCAGTCATTTGAAGCATATTACAATAATTCAGGAGATAGGAGATATAATGTATTATATAATTTTGCATAGTTATGCGATTATACATATAATTACAAGAATATATTTCATTTAAAATATTATAAAAAGAAGAATCTAAATGTTTTTGTGATTGATTCTATTAATGTTTTCATATAAAAATGAAATGGGACTTATAATATGATAAAAAAATAGAAATTATTTAGTAAATTTAAGGAAATATTGCTTCAATAAAAAGAATAGAGAATGCTAAAGTTATTACATACTTCAAGAAAAATGACTAAAAACAAAACGTATATATATCATATATATATCTTTATAAAATTCTGCAGTTTGCATAATAATTATGTATTTTTTTTTAATTAACAGACACTTAATATATATAATTATTTACTACAATTGAAATAAGACATTTATATATATATCCTGCTGTTCTATTATGTAGAATTATATAAAATATATGATCAATTATCAAAAAAATTAGATGAAAATTTATTTTTATTTAGTATAATTTTTATATATTTCATACGATTTTCTTTTTATAGACTATATTATGTACCCCTATATTTATTATATCAATTTGTGAAATTTTATTAAATTCAATATTTTTTATGTAAATCGGCGTACATGAATGATAATACATCACTTATTGTAATATTCTCATTTATTCCATCTAATAAGCCGTTTTATATTACAATATATATATTTTTTTTGTTTATGACTAATATCTAAATTTATCATAATATAGTGTAGACTAATAATCTGCATAAATTCACTGAAATACAATAAAAATTAAATTTTTTTTTCGTCAAAATGTTATAAATTTTTTATATTATATATACAATATATGTGAATTTGATTTATTATAAATAATTACTTAATTATTATTTATTTAGACTTAATATCACGCAACAGTGTATAAACAAGTAATAATACATGAATGTTATAACGCACTGTCTATATAATTATAATATTAAGTAAAAAACAGAATAAAAATGAACTTCTATTACTAAATTAAAAAGAACAAATTTTCTTATATATCACATAACTATAAAAATAATAACAAATTGAAAACGTTAATACATATATAAGGTAATATATATAGACTAAAAAAATTATATTTTTCATTCAAAAGCATTTGAGTAAAAATTAGTTATTATGTAATATACATATACAATACCATATAATATTTATATTCCCCACATTTATTTATTCAATAAATATATGGTTCATTTTATTAGTTTATTATTTACTTATTTTATTAATTATTATTGTTATATTTTATTATTATGCACTATATATCTCCGTCATTATGTTCTTGAGATATGCAGTTTTATATATGGTTACACCTAATATATTTTAAGTAAATAAAAAGAATAAAAAACACGTTTGAAAAAAAAATGATATATACATTCAATAAAACGATACCAACATATTTTTGCATTATTTATAACATTTATAGAAGTGATTTTAATTACTGTCTATATAATCATATATACACATAGGAAGCAAAAATGTGTTTATACAGAATTAATATTTCTTTTGTGCCCAAATGAAGTGTTAAAATTTTTATAGAATAAAAAACGTTAAAAAAATAAGTGTTTTGAAAATACATAAATTTACTTTTGTGCTGTATATTATAGTACACAGGAATATAAATATATGTGAATTAATGTATATCGAATGAATTGTCATTTATAATTAACGCATGTTTTTATTTAGAATATATTGTTTATTCAAAAGAATACATGGAACCATAGTCTGAATATATATGTATAATTATGTAAATAACCATATTATGTGTGTTAATTCGTATATAATGTTTATTTATTATATTACACAAAAAAATTTTAACATGTATATTTTCAAGATATGATACCATAATATTTCATATATTCTTTGTCACACATATAATTGATTAAAAGTATAATAATATATATGGTAACAAATGTAATTTTTATTCATTTAAACATTATAAATGTATATTAAATTCGAAGCTATTATTTTTACTTTAAAGCACATACATATATTACTATGAAGACAATAATTTTCAGTTAATACAAAAAATTATAGATAGCATAAGTACAATTAATTAAATAATATATATTCTATAACATATCATATAATATATAATTCTTTAAAATATACTACCTTAAAGAAGATAAAAATTTATAATTATATATTTCCTTTTGTTATATTGCATATTCTCCAATTTGTTATATATACATTTTATATTAAATAACCTTAACTGCGGTATTAGGCAATGATTATAGCTCTTTGTGTTTAATATTACACGTTAATATAGAAAATATTAATTATTTCATAAATATGATTTTAACACATATTTAATATTATGATTATAATTATATAGTGTTCTGTCTTACATACAATGATTCTCATTAGTAGTATTCTTTAAATATAATTTTAATTAAAATAATGATACAAAATAAATAAATAAAATATATTTAATAGATTAATTATTTTTAATTCACTCAAAATGTAAAGTACAATGTAATTTATTATATTGTAAAATTAATACAATACTATTGTTTTTTTTTACTACATGTTATACATTCATATATTATAGTATCTAAACAAATATAACTTATTAGACATGTAAAAAATTGAATAAGACCAATATATATTGGGTAGGAATATTTTTTATATTAAATTTACACATGAATAGTTGTATTATTTTGAGCGCTTAGCAGAAATTATCTATTACAATAGAATAAAGATGCATAATATATATATACATATTTATTACAAATTATATGGTAAGTAATATTAAAATCTATGAATAAAAGAAAATATATGTAGAATGTAAATAGAAGATCATTGCTTTATTTTATCCAAGAATATAAGACATATGCAATTCTTATGTGATAAATAATATTAAGAATCATAATCATTTTATTATGATAAAATAAATATTAATCATAGAATCTTAAATCCTGAACCCAAAACAATGATATTGATGTTATGACTGTGTGTGTGTATAGAGGATTGTAATAAGCTTAGCATTAAAATGTATTATAAGAATTATTCAATAAAAAATGATTCAAATTTAATTCTTAATACGGGTTTATTATTACAAATAATGTACTTTTCTACATTATTATATTATAAAAATCCATGACATATATTATAACCGTTTACATTATAATCATCATGCTAATATTAAAATTCATAATTGTTATATGCATTAAGCTATTAACAAATAGGAAATATTACTTATAATATATTTTATCATAGCGTAAAAAATAACTGCTTTCTTCAAGATACGAATATTTTGGCAAGACAAGCGCTTATTGTGTTAGTATTATTGTCCAACCTTTATAACTCTAGTTACTTACATAGTTAAAATAATTTTTTTTAACCTATATCATATTAAATTTAAAAAGTAATACTAATTCTTATTTTATTGCAATAGTTAAACATTTTTTAATTATTCATTATTATCTGAATCATATAAGGCACAATATTTTTAAAATATATTTTGTGCGTTAAGTAAATTATTTTCCTCTAATTATATATTTAAATGCATGATTATAGATAATTGTATGTTATATTATATCTACTATCTCTTAACAAGCTACTAGATATTTCGGTCTCTTGATATATATTTCTTTCTTCATCTATGTTATCCAAATGATTTCTTTTCCATGCTATAGCACGTCGTATCCATAAACCACATTCTGAGAACTAATGCACGTGGAAAATATGCATGAAGTATATTATTCTTCTTGTGATAATATTTTCCCTTTAATCTATGCAAAAATATTATTTGAAAACAAAAATATATAAAAATAATATGTTAATTAACCTTAAAAAGAACAAATATAAAAATGCATATTAATACTGTTACTAAAATTGTAATCATAATGGGAGATGCAATGTTACTTTTACAAGGAGTTGTTATTAGAGATTTACTAATTTCATCATATACAGATTCTATTTGTTTATTGTGTTTATTCATTATGTCTACCACATCTTGAAAAATATTATTCGTATTATATGTGTGTATAATTATTTTATTGTACATATCATATATAGCTCTGATTTTTGGGAAATCAATTTCTTTAATCCCATTCTTAAGGCATCTGGATATTTTTATCTCACCATTAAAATAAGTTTTGTAGCCTTTAATAAATATATTTAGTAGTTCATCGTAAACTTCATCGACTTGGACAGTTATATCTATGTTATCCTTGTGATGTAGTAGTTCATATATCCAATAATAGAGATATTCACAACCAAATTCATTTAAACTTTCCTTAGTACCCCCATTTACATATGCTAAGTATTCCATTACTTGGTTACATATATCTTGTGGATTACGATTATGAACATTTAAATGACTTAATTTAGAGTTAGGAGAGTTATCAATACATAACTTTGCCCAAGTACCTGGATTTGAATAATCAGTAATTTTTTGGGGTTTTTCTTCTATCTCCCCTTTACATTTTGGAAAATGAACTACAATTTCATACTAAGAACAAAAAAAATGTATAAATAATAGCAATTATATATGTATATTATATTAAACCTATTTAAAAATAATACATAGATAATATAACATAAAATATAATAATGTTTAAGATTATATTATGCTAATTAGAACGTACAATAGATTTCCTCATTTTATATAGTATTATACTCTTCAGGAATTTTATTATATTAAATAATAAAATTTAATAACAATGATATATATATTTATAAAAATAATGTTATAGCATGGAGAGAAACAATATATTTTTTTTATATATACTAGTATATGGATTATAATAAAATACCATTGAATTACTTCATCAAAAATTCTTTTATATTTTAAAACATAACTCTAATTATGTATGAAAATTGATATATTGGATTAATTATTTTGTAGGACATAATGAAAAATTTATATATAATATTGAGTTAAAAGTACCTAAATATATTCTCTTAAAATATAAAATTAAACTCCTACAGCTATATAAATATTATATATATTTCTAAACTTCTCAATGGTATAAAGGTATATCCTATGATAATATATGATATTAAATTTAATATAAATATAGTTATTTTTTCTTTTTATTTATTTCATTTTCTACAGTGTTAAATATAATTTGATATAAGGAATAATAAAATTAAGGATTATTAGAGTATATCATTTAAACTTTTCTGTATTAAAATATAAAATCTTAAATAATCATTTTAATATAATCTATGAATATACAATATAACACTTTCATGTATGCAATTCACTATGTGTATAAATGATTTAATATATTATAGCATTTATATAAGCCAAATGCTTAATGCTAAATAAACAATTTATTTATTTTTATATATATAACTCATAAAGGTATTATTATAATATTTATTTTATAGTAAATTTTTTTTTTTGAAGAAATGCTTTAATACATTTTCCACAAATATATAAATATATTATAAACTATATTATTCCTTATTATTCTAATTCAGCTTTGGCTCTAATATATTTTTTTATACCTCATAAAATATAACCTCACAAAAGTATAATAATTTTAAGAGGTATAATATATTAATTATAGAATATAAAATACGGTATATAGCTTTAATTCTGCATACCCAAGAAATATTTTTCTCCCACACATTTTTTTTAATTATACATTCATTTTTTTTTTTTTTTAATTAATTTATCAAATAAAATTATACCTACACCATACATTGAATGGAAGATTTTCAGTATAAAAAATAAATTGACATACATAATTTAATTTCAATTACTTATGTATAGAAGAAAAATAATATAAGAATTATTATCGCTCCTTATTCTTTTTATCAATAAATCATGTTATATATTGTTTATTTTATATATTTCCGTAATTATGTGTATATAATTAAATGTACATTATATGAATTTTTGGTAAATAAATCTTTAACACCATGAATTTAATTCCTTGTAATTAAATATGGATTAACATATATATATATATATATATATATATTTAGTTTTATTGTATAATATTTTTTATTGAATGGTACTTTTTTCTGGGATATAATTATATTTTATATGTAACAAACTAAAATATATGTATTACTAAAAATATGGGAATAATTAATTTTTACATTATATGTATATATATTTTATATTATTAATGAATTTGGAATACAATTTAATACGGAAATTAATTTTTTTATGATACAAAATGTACCTATTATATTATTATTTAATATGTGTAAAGTGATTTTTTAACTATAAAAATTGAATAAGCGCTATATCTTTTTGATAAGATATACTTTTTTATAATACAAGTTGTTATCTGTATTTTCTTTATTTTCCATTTTCAATTGTAATATTTTGAATAAATTCATTATTTGGTTATTAAAATGACTGCTTTTAACTTATTGTCATTTTTTTTTAACGCGTGCCTAAGATAATATTCCTTTAAATATAAACACGTTTTTGTTAAACTTAATTAATAAAAAACATTTCCATACATAGAGAATATACATAAATAGAATAAGAAAATATCATATATTATATATGAATATGATTGTTATCAATGTTATATTTTTCATATAATATATTGTAGAACTTAAGAAATATTATACACGTAATTTTTTTAATAAATGCTCTTTTTGAAATACTTTATAGTATATATAATTTCAATGAATTATTAAATATTCGTACTAATAGCTTATAGGAAAAATGAAAATATTAAAGGGGGGGATATGTAAAAATATATTATAATGGAATTCACTATAATATGAAGATAAAAAAATTATATATATCATTAGTGGTGTCACCTGTATGATTAGTTATTATATAGTTTAAAAAAAAAAAATGTACATATTTTAAATATTTCCCTACTAAATAATAAAATACACATTATAATTTATATATTGTTTCTATTGAAATGAGTTTTCTATATTACATATAAGAAAATCAAGAAAAAAATATATAGATATAATATATAAATAATTATAAATTAAACACATGTATTTTTTAATTTATTCATTGGAATCATAAAATTACAATAATTTCTTTTATTAATATTCATTATCTAGGTTCTTATAAAGTAGAATCTTCTTCTGTGATATAATATAGTCCAAATGTTTCCAAAACATGAGAAAGCTATTTCAGATAATCATAATATACATTTATTACAAATGTGTTTATTCTATGTTTGACAATAACTATTTTTTTCTTCAGAAGTGTTGTGATATTTTTAGTTATAAATTATTTAAAAGTCAAAATTAATAGAGATTTGTATATAAAATTTTAAATATATTTCATTTTACCAATTTAATATGCATGATACTGTTATTTATATCACATAAATTTAAGGCTTACATTTCTTTGATATATCTAAATTATCGTAATAAATTAAAAACTTACATTTTCTGCGTTATTTATATTTATTTACAATGTTGTGAATATTTGTTGTATATTTATCTTTCTCTCATTATAAATAATTCATTGTTCACCATAATATTTATAATATATATATATAGATATGAATAAATAAATATTAATATACAATGTTATCAAGGATATTAGAATTCTCACAATAAGTACGAACTCTTGTTGTGTAAGTAAATATATGTTTCTTAGTATGATATGATAAATATTCACATATATATATTTGTTAAAATTGTAGTTAGATGTTTACTGATGCTGCTCTGCATATAGCATTATATGTATTTTCATTTTGATATATTTCTTTTTTTTGCTGGTATTTCTTATTTTACACTTATACCTGGAGATCATATTATATTTAATTTATTAGATAAATGTTTAATTCATACTATATAAAATATATATATTTATTATTTTATAAAGGAAAAATATGTACTACATTATTTGTGATTATATGTAATTAAATATAAAAATAATATTTTTTCTTTATAATATATTTAAGAGGATTTAATATTGATTATGATAGCTATGAAATATTTTCATATTACTTTTGCATTTATGCTATTTTGAAAAAAATAAATAATAAATATATAGGAAAATACTATTTTCCTTGTATAAGAAAATTACTTCTTATATAATACGTCGTATAACCACATAATATGTATGCTTATTTTATATAATATATATATTAATCACAAAAAAAAGAATATATTTTTTTATTCTGAGGTATTATAAAATAGATAATGTCCGTATTATGTGTAAGCTATAATTATATATGTTATTTTTTATTCTTATAACTATATAATAATAAATATTATATTCATTCAATATAAACTATCAATTGAAACATATGTGCTTCATTATATATTAATATTTGTTATGTATTAAGTAATGATATTGCATGTTATCATATTATATAAAATAAATGTATGCCTTTTGCAACTTTTTTCAATATTGATGCTTGCACTATGGTATTTATTTGTGAAATAAAGAATAATATAAAATTTCGGTATTCATTATTAACGTGATAAAATACTTGAATAAGTAATTTTAGGATAATGAAAAGTAAAAAAAAAAAACAAAAACAAATATAATAAATAAATGAGATGCTATAATTTATGTACAACTAATAATAATAAACATATCTGCAATAATATTCTAAATAATCATATTATAAATATGAGAGAACAAAAGATGTAATGATATTATAATATGTTATGAGAATTATTATAACAATTCAAATTAAAAATTATTCATAAATATGTGCATTCGTAAATTTTAATGCAGCGTTTTTACAAGATTATATGAAACTATAAAATAATATGGAATTATTATAAATTAATAATTTATGCTACGTATATTAAAAATTATTCATACTTATATATTTTTAAGCATTTATTATTATAATAGCATATATAATGTTTATTAATATTTTTTTCCTATAATGTACTGTTCGTAAATGTAAGGACAACTTATTTGTAGAAACTATAATATGTGAAAATATGAAACGCACGACATTTATAAATAATATATTTAATTATTATTTACGGTTACGTTTTATTTACTGTAATATTGGCTTATTTATTTAGATATATTAGATTCTTGTGTTGAATCATATTTATGTTTTTTTTTTTTTTATATAGCTTATTGTATTTTTTATTTTTTTAAGAATATGAGTTTACAAAAAATTTATGTATAATTTTATAACAACAGCTGTTAGATCATTTAAAAAAATATAATTTCTTCTATTAATAAGCAAAATTAGGGTTAATGATATAATATATTATGTCTCCTGTTTCTTGACATAGTGTTAAAATATTCAGGTTCTTGCAATTTATTCCACTCTTCATCCATATAATTTAGCATATTTCTTTTCCCTTTTACTAAACGGCTTAATATGGGACTATATTCTGAAAACTAATTCACATAGATTTTGATATTTAGAATATAATTTTTTTTATAAAATAATTATTATTTATTAATTTATTTAAAGCAAATTATTTATGGTATGTATATAAATAAATAAAAGTGTAATTAACTTTATAAAAAATTAATAGGATAAGAGAAATTAATAATATTACAAGAATGGTAATTATTATGTACTTTTTGTGATTGTGTGTTTGAGGATGACGCAATAATCTTTTTTTAATTTCTGAATATAATAATATATCAGGTATATCAGTTTCACAATAATAAGGTAACTCTAAAGAATAAAACTTATTTCTAATAATTTTTAGAAAATTACAAAAATCCGAGTCATTATTTCTCACACATTCATCCAAGTACTTCATATATATATTAGAACATTTCGTGGTACATTCACACCTTTTATTATTACAGTGTGGTACGTGAAATTCTATGTCTTTAAGTATAGTATGCATATCATATGCATCTTTGAGTTTTCCCATTTCATCTTTTGCCTCAATAGAATAATTATTGCATATAGTGTAGATAGTTGAATCAGCTTCCTTAATTATATTATCATAAAAATCTTGGGTATAAGCGTCATTACCATTTTTCTTATGTTCATGGTATATCCAATAGTACAAGTATTTGCAATATGTTTCTTCAAATAATGTACCTTGACGAGTACGTATGTCATTTAAAAATGAAATAGCCTTAAAACATGTTAAAATATTTTGTTGTGCAAAATCTTCAGGAAATTCTTCAAGAACATTACCCATACACTTTAATATGATTCCATCAGAAGGATTAAATGTTTTATATTTTTCTATAATTCTATTAAATTCAGGAAATTTTTCCACTATTTTATACTGTGATAAAGAAATATATATTACAAGATTAAAAAATTACATTATCTTGAATATATTTTTAGCAAAACAAGTGTAAATTTTATTATAAAAACATTATAACATTTTAACTTATATTATAATAAATCACGCATACAGTATTTTCGTGCATCCTTTACAATATTATGTAAATCTGAAGATAAAGTAAAATGTTAATATTAATATACAAAAATAAATTGCTTTTTAAACTATAATATCATAGTTTGAAGAAGGATTACAATATCCATATTTATAATTGGAGTTTTTCTATAGAACTAATTTAAATATATAAACTAATTAATTATTATATATCCTATCATATAATAGTTGTTATTTGTGGCATAAAATATAATTTACCAACTATATTAGCATGATAATAAAAGAATTAGTCGTATCATTTAATAAAAGAAAAAAAATATATTTTATGCTTTTTAAAAGAATAGTGTATTATAATTCTATATAACCTTTTTAGTGCTCTCATTAAAGAAAAACTTATGTAGCATTTATATGTTACAATTTATAATATAAGTATAATTTTTTTTATCTATTTTTTTTTTATTTTACCATATTATATATAAAATAATATAAAATAATAGAATAAAAATGTTATCTTGTTCTATAGTTGATACCTTACTGTTATCTAAAATTGATACAAGTTTGCTATAGGCTTAGGTTTTTTGTGTATTAAGAATTCTTTTGTTTTTGTGCATGAATTAATAGAAGTATATTTATAATGTTAATTTAAATAAATTATATCCACGTTGCATATATAATATTTATATATGATTTCATATTAAACAAATATTTATATGGACTTCAATTACAATGAAAATGAATATTATAATTGCATTGATATATTTTATTCGGTATAGTACACGCATATTATAAAAAAATCAATTCTGCGACCAAATCATAAAGTAGAACAATTAGAAAAATATCACATCAGTAATATATTATATTTTTATTATATATATATTTCTAGTATGTTAGGTTATAATTTTATAATTATATAAATGTTTAATGAAATAAAACAGCGTACGTGGAAGACATTAATTTTGGATTAAATATACTTACATTATATGTTTGTTGTTTATTACTGAAAAAGAAACATAATTTTCTTCTTTTTTAAGCATTACATTTATTATGTTTTACATGAAGTAAATTTATATTTACACTCTATAGCATAAGAAAAATTTTGTACGTAATATAGTATAAGCATTACAGTTTATGTCATTTTGCATAAATGAAGAATAGTAACTATGTAAAATGAATTACTTCTACTTAGAAGTGCATTATATTACATATTCTCATAATATTACATTCACGTAACACATTAGTTATTATTTTAGATTTGAAACGGTACTGTATAAAAAATATAATAGATATATATTTTGTATGAGGAACTTCATTCATGCATATAATATATTTTTTATATTTTATAACATACTTTTGTATGAATAATATTTTTTTATAAATAAAATAATTTTTATAAATTTTGATTTATACTTAATATACGAGTAATTATAATTATTAATTTTTTATTAACTTAATTATCACATGATTTATGTTTTAGGGCATTAAATATAAAGAAAACTTAATTTAATCCTCTACTAATTTTAAAATTATTTTTTATTTACACTGAAAATATGACTTTAATATATTTTCTGTTTTTTCTTCCCTTTTTTGCTATATTATGATTATGGATTCTATTATAATTTCTTTAAAGCCGTAGCTTAATGAAACATATGTTTTTTTTTTTTTATAATATATAATAAAAAAATCATACGTCTAAACAGAGAAATATTATCCATATTACATAATATATTGTATAAAATTATGAAATCTCCAAAAGAATAATATGATTAGAAAAAATATATGTATTGAATAATATACAAGTACAATTATTAGGAAATGTATATTAACGAAATACAAAAAATATTAATATCTAATTATTTTAATTAAATAAATAATATTTATATTTTTTGTGGCAAAAAATATATTTTACGATAATTCCTCCCAAAATTTTTCATTATTGTATATATATAGAACCTCTATAAACTATTTAAAATACAAGCATTTTAAAATTATGTGTTATATTATATAACTTAATGTTATATAAAATGATGAAATTAACGCATTATAAAATTTATAAATGTAAAAATTTAGATAATAATAAAATTATACATCAAATTCATGGAGAACACTCATTGATTTATGTATAATGATTTATTTTCTTTTTTTATCACATATCTTTTATCATGTACACAAATAACAAAGGATGAATATTAATAATGTATAAATATAATTCAATACATAAATGTACATTAGCTTCATGTCAATGCATTATTATGCATCATATCATAATTTGTATTAAATAATATATAATTTAATTAAATATTGATTTTTGAACCCACATAAAATAGGATTAACTTCAATAATATCTCGACCATTTTATACAAGAATATTTTTATGAATTGAGATAAATAAGTACTCTTTTTAGATTTAATATAACATAACATTGACAATTTATTTATATTCAATAATATTTTAGGTTATAATTATTATTTCTTTATGATATATATATAAAATATCTCTCTTTTATTTACTAACAACATATGTAATTCATTTTTATATTCATTATAAATGTAAAATATTTATAGAAAATTTCATCATTGTGAGATAATTTTAAACTCAAAATTTGGTATTCATATTTTCTAATACTAGTAGTTACGAAAATATAACTAGTTAACGAGTTACCTGTCTGCGTAAACAGTACTGTCATTATAGTATTATAATTCACACTAGTATGAGTAGTATCCGTATGAATAGATTTACATGATATAATTCATATATATATCAATAAAATATTTATTTTTTTTTCATATATTACCATATCAAACAACATAATTTTTAAAATAAATCACATTAATTGTTTTCATTGTATTATATTTTTATGTAATCAATCATAACACATGTTAACCAACAGAAATTGAAAGAAATATAATAACGTTCATATAAAATATATATGTTTTCAAAGAAATTATCATAGTTATACATCAAATAATAATAACAAAAATTTTCATAGAATTAGTAAACAAATAGTTGACGCTATATAAATGAAAAAGATACATTTCGAAATATCACCATATATACATATATATATAAGTGTAGTCCTGATAATTTTGGTGGATATTTAAACGTGGAAATAACAAGTTATATTAAAATAAGGTAAAAATATTATGTTAAAAATATAAATTCTTTATATTTGTATATATAAATGTTTATTATATAAAGCTGCAAGGTAATATATTTTATACCAAAACTATTAAGGTTTTATCAATGTGTAATTAAATATATGACAAGATTTATATTTTTACAGGAAGATACATATTATAAATAGATTAATTTAAAGTATTAATTTAATCACTTACTATTAGCCTATGCTTTTATTTATGTAATATATTGTATTATAATATTTTTTTATGATAATATATATAAGCACGGTTAAATATATTAAGAGCGTTATTATTTTAACAAGAGTAAATCAATTTTGTGGGTACTGTCTATTGTAAAAAAAAGACCATCCTTTATACATAATACAATATATAGAAAAATGAATATCAAAGATTTTGAAGTGTTTCGTATCCTATTTTTGTTTTCATATATATTAATGTCTTCAACATGCCATAAATTTTGTTAATTTTTTTGAATATTTATTTTTCAAAAAATAAATCTATTATTTTCATAGTATTTATTATTTTAAATATGACATACTGTATTAATTCAATTATTTAATTTCAATAAGTTTACATATTTATATTATATTTTTCTTTATTTTAATCAATAAATAATTAATTAATCCGTTTGTTGATATTTCACAAAGTTCACTTATTATTAGTATGAAAAAATTCAATTTACAGTCAAAATATTTTTTACGTAATAATCAATGGTTTCATTGACTATATCATATAATAAATATACCATAGAATATTCGCAAAATTAAAATGTTTTCAAATATTTTGTACACATGTAATTGAAAAATTATGATAGAAATATAATGATAATAACACATTATTATATTAAAAATATATGTTTGTCTAGGATAAAAAATTGTTTAAAAGAAATAGATAATTTAACAAAAAATGTGTCTATTTTACATTAATATTAAATCTTTCCTATGATATTGATACATTTACAAAAGAGTATAATTTTATTTATTTTACTATGAAGATGAAAATTAATTATTCCTGCAACGTGTTATAAAAAACACTCCTTTATTATGATTATTAAATAAATTTTGATTGAACTTAATATTGAAAAAAAAATATATGTATATGAAATATAACATAATGAATTTTTTTCAACAATGATATATAATGAGAAAAAAATATATAATTTGTCATGTATATTTGTTTAAAGTATTTTATATATTTCATATAAGACAAGCATTATAAACTTACCAGTTAACTACGACGAATGGACAACGGTAATTTTTATATAATATATGTGTACTTATTGAGAAGAAGTTATTTCAATTTTAATTAAATAATCCCCAATTATATCACAAATCAAAGGTTAACTTATGAGTGATATATATCATACATCTAAATATATACAATCATAATGTTAACTTAATGTATGCAATTAAGTAATATATTAAATAATAAAAATTTATTTTTTATATTATATTCCATTATTTTTATAATACATCGATTTGATTTACAATAATTTATATGAATAATCATTTATTTTATACAAATTAGAGATTTACTTATGAGTAAATATGAAGATAAACCTCGATGTCTTTACCCTTAAATTTTAATATTCAATAAGGTTTATTTCAGAAATAATATTTTAAACTTTGTTTTTTATTAATTAAATGAATATATTCATAGTTTATTCCATCAATGCTATATTTTATACATTATCATTATAAATGATCAGATATGATTAAGGAAGTTATTCATAAATGCTATAATTATAATAGCTAGGAGCAACATTTTCCTTAACAAATATTATATAATTCTTCAAAATATATTTTTTTTCTGATAATAAATATTATTAGTTTATTTTGTTCTTGTTAGATTGCATAATTTTAATATATTATTGGGGAACCTATGGTATAATTCAATT